ATATGTTTTCCCCAAATAGTTCTTTAAGCATTAAAGTTTCATTTTCAATATAAAGTGATTCTTCATTCACCTCATAATATGAAAGACTTAAAAAAAAAAGTACAAAATATGGCAACTCCTTCTGAGGGATATTTTTGGGGAGCTGGGGGAGGCTTTACATTATGTTTAGAAATGTATAATAATGAATTTGAACATCTTTGTAAAAAACATTTGTTTGGTTGGGTTTTTTTTTTTTTGGTAAAGGACTTTTAGTACTGCACTACCACAGATTGATACTACCAGACAGTTGTTTGTACAGACTAGGAAAGGCCAGGAAGTTCTTACTAAGGTGAAGCATTTCATGAAACAACACATCCTTCCTGCTGAAAAGGTGAGTATTGTACAAACAATGTATTTGTGCTAAAGGCCTATTGATGGATACTTCTGTTATCTCTGCTTAATGCATTTGTGCTAAAGGACTATTGATGGATACTTCTGGTATCTCTGCTTGTAGAACTATAGTGTCATTTTCTTTGCAGTCAGTCCCTACCCAGATTCCTCACCTCTCCTTAGCACTGAGACTGAAAAATTCCAATCTTCTAAAATATGCCAAGGGAAGGCACATTTAAATTCTGTGGAATTTAAATTAAGCCAAAAGGAATTCGTAGTTTATAAAGTTGGTAGTCTAAATATATTAGAGTAAAACACTGCTTTGGGGGTGTTTTCTTAAGGCAATGACTTTCAGCTTTTTTTTTTTTTTTTTGATATGGATCCCTTTGAGAACTGTAGTCTATACAAGATGGACATACCCAGAAAAGTTTACTTATCATTTCAGGCTGTTTACAGATACTACCCTTCTTTCTAATAAGCTACTATTTTAAGGTGCTAAGTTTCAGTAAGTTAACTGAGGGTAGAGAGGCAACATGGCACCTTCATTTATTCAGTTAACAAATAATTATTGGGTACCCAATGATGTGTTAGACACCTGGGGAACCACTGAATGTAAAAGAAAGAACAAGGCAGACAGGGCTTCAGCTCCTATGGAGCTTATACTTCAGCAGGGAAGGAAGACATTAAATAAGAGATGATAAATGCCAAGAAAGAATAGATAAAAGCTCTTATGAAATATGTAAGAGAGGGGGAGGTGGGACAGGGTATGTTATGTGGGTAGAATACTGGTGTAGAAATTGTAAGGGCTTGATTCTAGTCGATTTCCGCCACAAGTTAGGTAATCTTGTGTCAGGCAGTCTTATCTGGCCCCATTTTCTTCATCTACAGTGTGAGTAGGTATAACTAGATATACAGTAAATCTATGATTCTGAGGGGTCTAGAGCTAGACTGGCAAAATCAAATAGAGAACTGAAAAAGACCAAAATTCTTTCAACAAAAGTGTTCAGAACTGATATGTTTGTAGGGCCATTAGTTGTTGTTGCTTGAATTAAATAATTACTATATTTTTAGTAAATATCTGGTTTGAGATTACAGTAGGGGGACACATCAGGAAACTAAAGGTTTTGAAAAGAGAAAAGAAATTAGATTTAGAAAGCAGATTGGATATCCCTACCCAAGGATAAATTGTAACAGAGAAAACTACATCTCAAAAGAATTTTTAAATAAGAGAAGGTTGTAACATAGATGGTAACCATTTTTTCACAGTAGAGTCCCCTGTGATTGGCTGGTCTGGAGAGCAAGAATGAGAAGAGGAAGAGAAATCAAGATGTTTGGTTGAAAAATTCCCTACAGATGGGCTGCTTGGGTGAAAAACTCTGCATAGCAATGATGTTCATTTTAGACAGAAGTCTGCAACAGTACTCTTTTAAAAAAGTGAATGATCTGTTTTTGAGAAGCCATGGCTTCAGAAGCATGAGGGTTAGTCCCCTGGAATAGGGTCTTCCACAATTTGGCTTTTTTTTTTTTTTTTTGGTGGGAAGTTGAGTGGAGACCCTAGCTTGCCGGTCAGCCTACCTGATTCCTACCTGCTTACTCTAAAATGAAGCCTGTCTCTTACCTTGCTAGTTCTTGCAACCAGCCCATCATTCAGAGGAGAGGCCAGAATTGGCAGAGGAGAGCAAGCAGGCTTGATCTTTCATTCATAAGTGTAAATAGGCATTCAAGGGAAACTGCAGCTTAGAAGAGGAGTGTCACAGGTTGGGAGGTGATAGATCTGCTGAACTTAGTATCGTGCATCTATTAAAATGTTTACAAAGAATGTGCAATAAAATAAAATGGTTTATAATAAGTAAAAAGTAGCCTATAGCTTTAAGGGGAAGATTGTCAGTGTTTTGTGTGGCAAGGAAAGCCACAATTATATGATCTTTGCAGATCTTTCAAATCTGGAACATATCCACATCTGATAATGTGAGCTTCTTTTAAAAACTGTACCAATGTCAGTAAAAATGTTTATCCTGTATAATGATTCTGAATACTACTCATCCTTGTCTGTGGAACATATACATTTGGAGTGATATCTAGAGAAAAGTAAATAGCTATTTCAAAATGGAAAGGGAGAAAACTTATATAAAATTTAATCCAATATTATTATAACTAAGTTTACAAAAAACCAAACCGTCATGTCTAGAAAATAAGATTATATCATATAATACACAAATATTTACAGTCTGTATCTTTAGCTACTGAGATTCTTGATTATATTTTTCTTTACACATTTACATATTTTTCAAATTTTCTATAATGAGAATAAATAAGTTTCATTTCAACTATGCTAATGACCTTTTGCAGCTCCTTAAATATCATAAAATGACAACATATAAACCTATTATCTATGAAAATGTTAAAAGCCTATTCTTATTTAAAATAGATAAGGACCTCAAAAACATCACTAAAATTGTAACTAGCAACATCACATATTACTGAGAACACACTTTTAACATGATGGTAACATTAATCATACTTTCCTTCTAAGTCTAATAATGTGCTGGGGAAGAACCATTGCTTTTTTCTAGTAGACTTAAGTTTAAAGTGAAAAACATATACGAAAATTATTTGTAGGTTTAGATTTAAGATTCTGAACCAACATACTCCGAAGTAGTATCTCAATCAGTGAATGAGGAAGTAACATGTTAAAGGTGATGTTTTGGGAAGGCACCATGTATATATTCTGCTTTTGTCTTTCACCAATAAGTTATTTTTCATACTGTAAGAACTAAAGATGGCTCTTTGTAATGATATATTTTATTTATTCTGATTCCTTCCATGCCATAAATAAATTTTGCAAATCTCCAAATGGATAAGCTTTAGAACATGAAGTATTAAATAATACAAGTTTTTAAATAATTATATAAATGCTGGCATCATATCAAAAGTACCCAGAAATGAGGAAATTGTAAATGTTTTGCATAATATATTTCTTATCAATCACAATAGCATAGACTATTTCCATGGCATTATGAGGGATGGAAGTAATAAGTAACCCCAAACAGGAACAACTTTCGCTGACTTCCTGACTGAGTTGACAAGGGCCATTCATCCTGGTGCCTTTGAAAGAGCAGACCTTTGCCTTCTTGAAGTTTTCACTGTATACCACAGCACAATGAACTAACTATGTTTCAGTGAAAGGGACATTCTAGTACATTGCTTATGTGAGTGTAAATTGGTAAAACAGTTTTGGAAAATAATTTGATAATATGGATTAATAGTTTTGACAATGTTCATAGACTTTAATTCAGTAATTCTACTATCCTATATGTGATAGGTACAGAGATGGTATAACAGCAAAATATTGGAGAATGCCATTATAGTTCAGTATTTTCAATCTATCTTTATTCTTTTAGTTGCACAAATTAGGGATTGTTATTGTTTTATTGGGCTAGTTTTTAATTTAGATTTATCCACATATTTATCATTTTATTACTATTCCTTCTTGCAACACAAATGTTTCTTCTAGGATAATTTTCTTTAGTGAGAATCTTCCAGTGAACTTTTCTTTTGCTTATCTTTCTCTTTTATTTATTTATTGGTAAAACCTTTAATTTGCCCTAATTCTTGAAAGGTAGTTTATTGGATATAGAATTCTAGGTTGACAGGTATTTCCTCTCAGCAATTGAAGATATTATCTCAGTGATTTCTGGCTTCATTTGTTGCTGTGGGAAGTCAGGTCTCAATCTTAATTGTTGTTTAGTTATCAGTAGTCTTTCTTTTTTCCCTCCTCTTTATCCTTTTAAGAGATTTTCTTTCTCTTAGATGTTCTGCAGTTTTACTGTGCTCTGGCTTCATTGTGCTTTCTGAAGTTGAGGATTGGTGTCTTTTATAAGTTCTGAAAGCTTCTTAGAATAATTTTTCCAAATATTGCCTCTCTCATCTAGGGATTCAGTTAGACTTACGTTAGACCTTCTCTCTGAATCTATCATATCCCTTAACCACTCATCTCTTACTTTTCTTGAATTTCTGTCCTTTATCCTGAGTAATTTCTTCAGATCTTTCTTCCAGTTTATTTTGTTTTCAGCTGTATTTAATACACGTTTCAACCATCCATAGAATAGTTCTCAAAGTTTGGAGTGTGTTGGAATTGCTTACAGAGCTAAGAGGGAACACAGAAGCCCAGGCTCACTGAAGTAGGATAGGACCTAGGCCCCTGTGTTTTTACCAAGTATCCCAAGTGATTCTGACGGCCACCAAAATTTGAGAACCACTGCCATAGAGTTTTTAACTTTCATCACTATGGTTTTCTTTTCCTCAAGTTGCATTCAGTTCTTTTTTAAATTTTCCTGTTTACTTTTGATAGTCGTTTGTAATACTTTTAATTCCCTCCTTTATTCTTGAAATTTACTGAACGCAAATATCTTATACCCTGTATCTGATCATTTATCTATAGCCTTTGGGAAGTGTGATTCTGTTTTGTTCAATTATTGTTTTTGCTAATTCTTGCTAATCGTGGCTTGTTTCCTTGAGTGATAAGTAATTTTTCATTCTGAACTCATGTTTTTAGAATGGAATTTTATCTGTGGGAGTTATTTAAGGCTTTTGTTTAAAGCTCTTTTCTCTAGAGAGGATTTGCTTTTGCTTCTGCCAGGTGTTTGTAGGCATTGTCACCAGGAAAACTGTAATCTTAATTTTTGGCTTGAAGTTTAAGAGCCCCACAAGTCTGCGAATTCTGTCCTGAACTTGGGTGAAGGCAGGCTTCAGGTTGGAAATATGTTTTGTTTTGTTTTGTCTTTTCTTTTCCACCAAGAACTAAGACCTATGTGTAAGTCTTAGTCCACCTCCAAGGGCAGAGGGTTTTTTTTACTTTGTTTTTTTCTTTTTTTTTTTTTTTCAGTTAGGTTTTATCCATCAAGCATCCTGGCTTTGGTGGAGGGAAGAGGTGATCTCTGATCCTCCCCCTTGCCATTTTTGGGTGCATTAGGCTATATCTCCTGATTCCTGCCTATGTGGTTCATCAAAACCCGGGGCCTAGGCTAACAGATCGGACTGCATCCCCTGGACAAACTTGGCTCCAGTGCTCGCCCACAACTGGATAGTCAGGGTTTTTTGTTCCTAGCCTCTAAGGAATTTTCTTATTTTCCTTCCAGCATGGCTATGCATTACTAAATATATTTCTAAATTGTTTTTAATATTTTACCTAGCATTTCTACTTGAGGGGTTTCTATGTCCATGTAGTATGCCATATTGCTGGAGATGGAACACTAAAATCTTGGCATAAGATTTTAGAAATCTACTGTCTAGTACTGAGGCAGCATAATTTTGTGAGGAGCAAATGTTTAGAATTCTTTATGCTTTTACATCTGTTTTTAAAAAGATATGTTACTGATTTAATAGCAGCTAAAGAAAGATTCTTCACCTAAAAATGTTTCCTTTGGATATCAGCGGTTTATGACATTGTTTGCTTTGTATTAACTTTAGCTAATTAATTTTTTTTCCTCTTATCACTTTAAGGAGATAATTGAGTTCTTTGTTCAAAATGAAAATTCACTGGAGAAGTGGAGAAAACCTTTAGTGATTGATAAACTCAAGGTAAAAAAAAATAAGAAAATCTTTAACATTGGATAATTCATTTGCAAGTGTTTTTTGAGACCTTAGTTTTGTTGTTTTGGTTATGTATGTAGAGGATAATTATATCAATAATAACTTTTAAAAAGAAACTTAAAAAATATAATCTATAATATACAAATTAAGCTACATAGTGTTCTATATATGGTATGCAATAAAAACAGCCTCTCACAGCTGTTTAAAGAAAAAAATATGATCAAAACTAGTCATTATCAGTTATCACTGAATTGAAACTGTTGTCAAAGCAGGGCATTTGTCCCACATGGGTTTAATCTAAATTTCATGTCCTCAAATCTTAACAGCAACACATATAAGAAACTGAAATGCACAAATAGCATATTTGGCATAATTATACTCAGATGTGGGAAATTTTGTAACAGTTCTGATTAAATAAAAAGTCCTCAAGTACCAAATTTAGTTTTTCAGCCAAATTTAAGGAAACGTGGAGAAAAAAACATTTCTTTTCTTTAAGAGTTAAGATGATAAGTTGATTTATAATGAATTAGTAACTGCTTGATTTTGTACACTTTAGGATACAATGAAATAAATAACTCTGTTTTTTTAAATTTCAAAAAGCATAAATACCAATATTTTTTGAAAGGTAAACTATTTTAGGTCATGGTAAATTATGATCACTCTTGGCATGTTCATCACTTTGACAGGAAATGGCCAAAGCAGAGGGCCTCTGGAACTTGTTTTTACCAGCTGTAAGCGGTCTCAGCCAGGTGGACTATGCCTTGATTGCTGAAGAAACAGGAAGATGCTCTTTTGCTGCAGATGTCTTTAACTGCCAAGCACCAGGTTACTACATTAATTAACAACAGAATTTCCTCTAATAGTTTGAGCAGTGTTTAAAATCTATTTTATGACAAGGAAGTTTTTCTATGCAAAGTCATTGATTTATAAATTTGGCTATAATTTTACTTTTCAGTTATTTTGATTTAAATATTAAAAACAGGTTTGACATTCTCATTAGGCTATTCTTTTGTTAAACATCATTACCTTAAGAGTATTGGTGAGTACAATTCTCTACCAAAGGGATTGGTAATATAAGGATCCCAGTTTCCTGAGTGGGGATTGGATATTTTTATGGCTAGTTGGAATGGATATGTATTAGTCCATTTCTATTGCTTATGAGAAAATACGTGGTACTGGGTAATTTATAAAGAAAATGAAATTTATTGCTTACCGTTTCAGAGGCTGGGAAGTCCAAAGTCCAGGGAACACAGCTGGCGAAGACTTTCTTTGGTGGTCACTTCAGTAACAACAGGGTATCATATTGCAAAAATGGCAGGCAGAGAGAGAGGACTTCTCATGTGCTCTTCTTTTAAAGCCCTCAGAACCATGCCCCTGACCACCATTATTAATCCACTCACTGTGGCATGGTCCTACAACCTAATCACCTCTTCAAGGTTCCACTTTTCAATTAGCATAATAGGATTTCCCACCCTCAACATCTAACAGTGCAGATTAGGTTTTGGGGGGGACATTCAACCTAAGGGAGGATAGATAGTTCCAAATCTTTTCAGTAGCCTCACTATCTCTCCATTCATCCACCAAGTATTTATCGATTCCCTACTGTGTGCCAAGCACTGGTGTTCTTGAGATGATTTGTCAGTGAATGCACAAATTTGCCTGCTTTCAAGGATCTAATTCTAATAGAGACAAAAGTAAACAATAAATATAATAAGTAAATTATGTAGTAAGTTGGAAGATGGAAAGTGTTTGGGGGAGAAAAAAGAGCAGGGTAGGGGAGCTTTGCAATGCTGAGGGAATATGGGTTACAATTTAAAATAGAATGGTCAGGATAGGCCTCATTGAGAAAACATTTGATAAAGACTTAAAGGCCCGGCCCGGTGGTGCACTGCTACAGTGCGCCGCTTGGGAGCGCGGTGGCGCTCCCGCTGAGGGTTCGGATCCCACATACAGACCGGTTTCTGCTCACTGGCTGAGCGAGATGTGGGAGCAACACCGAGGGTTGTGATCCCGTTGCCGGTCCTGGTCCGGTGCGGGCGTGACACTGAGGGTTGCGATCCGTTGCCGGACACGAAAAAAAGACAAAAAGGAAAAAAAAAAGACTTAAAAAGGTAATTGAGTTAACTGTGCCATCATCTGGGGGAAGAGTTTTTATGGCAGAGGGAACAGAAAATACAAAGGCTCTACAGGGCAAACCTATGATTGGTGTATTCTAGGAATAGCCAAGGAGGCTGATGTGGCCAGGGAAGAAAAGCAGGAGAAGAGATCAGAGAGGAGAGGGTCTCATGTGTTGGGCAGATTAGGATGTATACCTTCAGTGGAATGAGGAGCCAGACATTGGGCATTTTGAGCAGAGTAGTGACAATATGTAACTTCAGTTTTAAAAGGATCACTTTGGCTGCCCTGTTGAGAATTGACAAAAGGAGGGAAGGAGGAAAGCAGGGAGTCTGTTGTGGTAATGCTGGTGAGAGGTGATGGTGGTTCAGACTGGGGTAGTAGCAATGGAGGGGGTGGTAAGTGGCAAGATTATGAATGTATTCCAAAGGCAGAGCCAAGAGGATTTCCTGGCTGGATATGGGGTATTAATAGGGGAGTCAAGGATGCCTCCAAAGACTTTGATGTGAAAAAGTGGAAAAATGAAGAAAGGAGGCCAAGGTTTCTTAAAGTAAAATGGAAGGAGTAAACCTAGAATGTAGTCTATACTGGAGGTGTTTTTTTTTTTTTTTAAAGATGACTGGTAAGGGGATCTCAACCCTTGGCTTGGTGTTGTCAGCACCACGCTCAGCCAGTGAGCAAACCGGCCATCCCTATATAGGATCCGAACCCGCGGCCTTGGTGTTATCAGCACCGCACTCTACCGAGTGAGCCACGGGCCGGCCCCTGGAGGTGTTTTTAAACCTGGATTTGCAGAAGAGCCATCTAAGTAATTTTTGAAAAATCCAGGTTCCCAGGCTCCATCCCTAGAGATTCTGATTCAGTGTATCTAGGGTAACTCTGGGAGTGTCTCTCTTTTTTTATAAGGTTACTATGGTTATTCTAATGCTACCAGTGAACGACTAGCACTTGATTTGTAATAGGTTGATTATGGTACAATATCCAATACGAGTATTGTCCCTACACAAGTTAGGCCACAGTATTGCCTTTTGTGCTTATTGTGTGGCCCTGGTGCTAAAGCTATCCCAAAGAGAGTTATTACAGGATTAAGCTGCCAAAAAGAGGTATACGGGACTATATTGGACTTCTGAGAGAAAACGCATTCTGGATTTTGCAAAGTGGTTCCACACTGGACTTTGACTCTCTCATTTTTGGCACTATTAAGACAGTTTGTAAACTTCTGGTGATGGTTGAACTTGGCCCTGGCATGGCTGGCATGGTTTTCCCTCCTCCAAACACTGATTTATGAAATTACTGCTGTACTATATTGTAATACAATAATGAGGTTATTGTAAAAGTAATCTAGACACAAGAGTTTCCAAAGATTTCATATCAATTGTGTGTCTGTTACATCATACTACATAGGTAGCATGTCTTTGTGGAAAGGGAACTGAACAGATTTTGTGGAAAAGGAACTGTGGAAGGATAGTCTTTTAGTTTACAACTCTTTTGATTGCTACTCCTAGTAAGAAATACATTTTATATTATGATCCAGTATATAGTATATGAAGTTGTGTGTATGTGTTCATGGATGGATGGATGAATGGGTAGATAAATAGATATACTTGTATGTTACTGAAACAAAGGTTTCATGAAACAATACTTTTCCTTACTATGCACAGTGCATTCAGATATTCACCACTGAGTTTAATCTAATGTAGTGTATTTTGTTCTATTTTACTTTTTAGAGAATGCTAGCCATATTTCATTAAATTTACTTCATTATGCACCAGTGGGTTATAATATGAAAAATAATGCTACAGAAGACTTTCTCCTTTGCAGACCCAGCTCTGCCACTATTTTTCCATTTGACCTGTGAACTCACTTTTCACTAGATGGTCATGGATTTTTTTCTAGTATTAAAATTTCATGAGTCTCACAGTTGTACTATCTAAATGATATATCCAAATTGCTGAAATTTTAAAACAGGGCAGGGAAATATATTTTCTTTGACTAAAGAATGATCAGCAACTCTCCTAAGCAAACAAAATGAGTAAAATTGTAAGTACAAAACTAGGCGTTTTCTCTTTGTGGCAGAGATATCTTCATGAAGCCCTTGGCATTGTGTTTTGGAGCATTTCCAAAGCAGATAGAGAAGGGAATGTAACTGATGCTGATTAAATACTTTGAGAGGTTTCTTAAATATGAAAGATTAATTTCCACCCAGATCATTTTCCAAGTAGTTATAAAAGCCTATGGGAAACATATGTAGTCTTCCAATTTGTCTTTTTTTTTTTTTGGCCCTTCAAGAAGTCATACAGTATTGTATACTGGAATGTTGAAAATAGCAATTAAATGCTAAAACTATTCTAACTGGAAAGTTTTGGGGCCTTTGGGCTGATTTTTTTTTTAAATAGGAAAAAAAAATTTGTTGAATTAATTTATATAGGCTTTTCCCCCCAATCCAAAAATGATAAACTTAGCCAGCTTCTCAGAATAAACTAATAATTTTTAGAATTTTTTAGTTCAATATTTACCTTATTTGAACTATAACAAGTAACACTGAATTTAAAACAAGTAAAAGAAAACAGTGAACATTATTAATTATAACTTAGGACTCATATTCTCCCTCAGTCAAAAAGAATATTAAGCTTGTATTAATCTACTAGGAATTTTGTGCATCTTGATATAAAATTGGCTATTAGGAATATCCTAATATCCTGAGAAATTTAACTTAGACTTAACTCAGTTTTCATAGGCATTTCAGTGACTATCCTTAAAGTCACTGTAAGAAGCGATATTGAAAAATTCTTCCTCAAAATCTGCCAAGTAATCAGTACTCAAGGGAAAGGTTTTAGACAGTATTTTTAGAAATTTGATAGGAATGAAAATCAGAGGAAGGCATCTAGAACATTTTGCTCCATAGCAGATCTGAAGCACTTTTTAAGCCAAGGGTGATATTACGGTGTGTCATGTATTAAACAACCTCTGGGAGCTGAAGAGGGCCTTTGATGTTCCCTACTACCATTTTCTGTCCAGGGCAGGGATTCTAGCTTTAGCATCCTTGAGAGATGACCTAGTACTTTAATAGGTGGTATGGGGTGCACAAAAATAAGAGCAACGGTAGAGATACAAAGACAATTGTTGCTATGTGGGTTCAGAAGAAGTCAGGGGTACTTCTTACTGGGTAACCAGAGATTCTCCTCAGAGGAGGTGGCTAATAAGCAGAAATTTACTTATGAATGACTGGTAGAATTTCACTTGAGAGAAGGCTTGGCCCAAGCAAACACATGGAAGTTAGAAAGCACAGGGTGTGTTCCCCAGGAGCATTGCAATCACCTCTAACAGGGCACATTTGCAATATGACTGGCAAGGTTTGGGCTAGTAAATTTTTCCTTCAGTCCTAGTTGAGTTAAACCTCATTAAAGCCATGCTTCATTGGGATGGACTGGACCTTCAAGAGTGTGATTCAGAACAAGTTGAATAAATATGCACCAAATGCCATGTACTTGTAACTATTCATGTCATGCCGTCATTGTAAGTAATATGTACTATATGTTTCAAAATATTTTTGTTAGCAAACATTTGCTTTAAAAAGATGCATGTCTGTATTATCTACATAAAGTTGTAGATTTCATTCATATTGGTAAATTTTTTAAATGCAAAACAGATGTTCTTTCTTATGTACAGACACTGGGAACATGGAGGTACTGCACCTATATGGAAGTGAGGAACAGAAGCAGCAATGGCTTGAGCCTCTTCTTCAAGGAAACATTGCCTCGTGCTTCTGTATGACAGGTAAAATCACATCACTATTCTCTCGTTGTGCAATCAGTCATCTGGAAGTTGTTATAAATGATATGAAGAAATGTGGGAGGTGGCTCTGTGTTTCAGTCAAATTTGCCCATGGCCAGAAATTTGACTGTGTTTTGAGCCCAGTTTTAAATTGGGGCATTTTTAAGTGTGCAGAATAAAATTGTCCTCCCCTTTGGGAGGACACCAGATGATGTTTTATGGTGGCTTGTTTTAGCATTAGCAGCAGAGAAAACTTAGTTTCTTAATCTTTTGACTTGCATTTCTAAAATTGCTGTCTATGGATATTTAAGATCTTTTTTACCCTTATGTATGAAATATTCACCTTTGTGATAATTTTATGTTGATATTTACAAAATACTCAACTCTTCTGTAAACCCAGAACCACATTCATGTAACCTTTATTATAATATATTGCTATATTATTGTTTTATTATTAGTTCCTGTTAACTAACCTCTTCCTGTGCCTAATTTATAAGCTAAACTTTATCACAGGCATGTATGTATGGGGAAAAAAACGTAGTGAATTTATATATATATATATATATATATATATATAAAGAGTTCTGTACTCTCCACGGTTTCAGGCATCCAGTGGTGGTCCTGGAATGTATCCCATGTGGATAAGGGGGGACTACTGCAAATTGGTGAAAGCGTTCCTGATGGAATTTGCAAGGCATAGTTAGAAATTACTTAAGATAGTAAACAATATGGTGGGGCACTTGCCAATATTTATTACAGATTTCCACTGTGAGAAGTAGAAAATAATATTTTCATCTACTTTTAATGATTGGAGAAAAAAACTGAGTGAGTTATATCCCAAGTCATATATCAATGAAGAAGCCAAGAATACAGTTCAAAATACTAATCCCCAGTGTTCTATATACTTCATTCATTTATTCTTCCAATGCACATTTATTGAATACCTACTATGTGTAGGTTATAGGAGAATCAGGGTGGAATGAGGGAAGGATAGGAAGATGAAAAAGACAAGGATGCCTCTGTTATCAAAGAGTTTACATTCTCTTATCTAAGCCTTTTTTGCAAACTGCCTGCCTGCCTGTAAATTCAGCCTTTGTTTATTTATAGAGCCTGATGTAGCTTCAAGTGATGCCACAAATATTGAATGTAGCATCCAACGAGATGGAGATAGCTATGTAATTAATGGCAAGAAATGGTGGAGCAGTGGTGAGTGTTCAGCATAATCTTTTCATTTAACAGATTGATTCTTTGTGCCAGATGCTGTGCTAGAATCCTATGATACATAGTTATTAGTTTCATAATCATAATTCTTAGAATTCTGCTTTTGAAAACATTTTCACATTTAGAAATAGTAATTAAAAGGAAAAGTAACTTTAAAATAACATGGCCTGATTAGTTGATGTTTATTTTAAGAGCAGAAAATGCATGTTTTTTTTTTAAATTTGAGAGATAAAATTTGTTAGTGTGTACTGTTTTTGACCAATGTAATTCCTATCAAAATTTAATTTTAATAGGGGCATATTGCATGGATTATAATAACTTTTTTATAATTTTTAAAAAGATTAGCTGTATATGTTATTAAAGATAATTTATTGTGGTGCATATTTTTATTGCTTAAAAATACAAGCACTTTATGCATGGGATAATACATTTTTTAGTCATCCCTCAGTAATAGACTCATATAAATGGATAAGTTCTTTAGGAAGTTATAAAAATTGGAACCCACATAAATTTGATAATCCCAGGATTGCTTCTAGAGTATACATGATAAACCTAACATTATCAGGATAACTAGTTGATACTAAAAAAAGTTAACATCATGGAAGCAAATTATGGGTGTAGAAACATAATAGGAATGTACTGAAAGACCAGAAAAGCTTATTTTTGTATTTTGTATTTTTTTGGTCGTTAGCTGTTATTTTTTCTGGAATGTTATAAAATTACTTACACATCACTAAGCATCAGGGAAATGCAAATCAAAACCACATTGAGATTTTTATCTCACCCCAGTTAGACTGGCCATTGTCAAAAAGAGAATAACAAATGCTGGCAAGGATGCAGAAAAAGGGGAACCCTCTTAACTGTTGGTGGGACTGTAAATTATTGCAGCCATTATGGAAAGCAGTATGGAGGTTCCTCAAACAACTACAGATAGAACTGCTATATGATCCAACAATCCCACTGCTGGATGTATACCCAAAGAAATGGAAATCATCATGTTGAAGAGATACCTGCACTCCCATGTTTATTGCAGGTCTATTTACAATAGATCAGTAGAGTTGGGACCAACCTACATGTCCATGGACAAACAACTGGATAAGGAAAATGTGTTACACACACACACACACACACACACACAGTAGAATACTTTGCTATAAAAAAGAAAGAAGTTCTTCTATTCACAGCAACATGGATGAACTTAGAGAAAATTATAAGTGACATAAGCCAGGCACAGAAAGAGAAATACTGCATGTCCTCACTCATAAGTGGGAGCTAAAGAAAAAGAAAGAAAGGAAAATACAACAATCACAATAATTCACTGAACTTTCAAAAAGAGAGAACAGAATTGAGGCCAACAAAAGTGGGAAAGGGGGAGGGTGGGATTTAGCAAGAAATTGGTAAAGGGCCACAAAAAATGCTTACAATGTATAAGGTTGAATATACTAATTATCCTCATTTGAGTATCACGTTATTGCACACAAGTATTGATATTCAACACTGTATTCCACAAATATGTACAATCAATTGTTTCAATTAAAAAAAGGAAAAAAATTGTTTTGCTGCATAATTATTCAAGTACTAAAATTATGCAGGAAAATTGTTCTTGTATTAAAATTTAGATGATTGAAAATAATTATAAGTGCCTCTTAAAATGATCCTCTTTATTAATCTGTTTTAGATGGTCTAACATATAGCATAGTAGGCTTTTTTCCTTTTAAAAACTTTTTTTATTTTGAAATTATTATAAATTCACAGGAAGTTACAAAAATAGTAAAGAATGGTCCTGAGTATCCTTCACCCAGTTTGCTGGAATGGTTCCATCTTACATAATTATGGTATAATATCAAAACCAGGAAACTCAAATTGGCACAATGTATGTGTATAGTTCTATGTCATGGTATCACATGTGTAGGTTTGTGTAATCAGTACTGCAATCAAGATGCAAAACTATTTCATCACCACAAAGATCTTCCTCTTTATAGCATAGTGGTTTTTATTTTTTATGCCTGTTACTACTATTTTCCTGTATTGTTACTTTTAATTTTGAGGTTTTGTATACTTATCATCTTGTTTCCTCTTCTTCTTGGCTTCTATCCTCGGCGCTCCTTAACCCTTTCTTTGTTACAAGTTGCAACCATAGTATTTGTGATTTGAGTGTCAGAATAATGCAGATGTTTTATCTGAGGGGAAGCGTCATTCATGTGTATCCAAGCAAAAGGCAGAGCAGTTTTACATTTAAATGCTAAAAGTACTGGTTGGCTCTGTAGGACTCTCAGAATCGAAAGCAATCTCCTCCACATTTTGTCTTTGTCTTCTCCAGGACCCATATTTCTTGGCCACTTTCATAATGTAGTTTTTAAAAGAGGCTCCCATAAAAACATATAGCACTGGGTTGAGGCAGCTGTGAAAGAGTGCGATGCTCTCTGTGATTTGGATGGCAACATCCATGCGTTTGCTCATGTCACAGTCGGTGATCAAGGAGTAGATGATGTCTATGGCTCGGCAGAACTTGACAATGTTATAAGGCAGCTGAGTGACAATGAAAACTATAACCACTGTGAGCAGAACTTTGAGGGGTCGAGATTTTTTAATGTTTGGTGTCTTGATGAGTGTCCTTGCTGTGATAAAGTAGCACACCCCCATAATAAGAAAGGGTACTACAAATCCGATGCAGATTTCTAGCATTTGAATCAGTGCTTTCATTGATGTTCCTAGGTGGTGAGGAAAGATGGGAATGCATCTATCATTGCCATTTACTGTATAAAAAACCAGCTGGGGTATACTCAGCAAGATGGCAGCCATCCAGACACAGAAACAGATGATCCAGCCTGGTTTTCCCACTCCTGATTGACCGGGGGCTTTAGTTACTGCCGAGTATCTGTCTATGCTGATACAAGCCAGAAACTGCATTCCAGAGACAAAGTTTACTGTGTACAAGGCTGAAGTTACTTTGCACATCATTTTCCCTAAAACCCAACCATGAACTGCGTTAACTGCCCAAAAAGGCAGAGTGAAAAGAAGGAGTAAATCTGCCACTGCCAGATTCAGGATGTACACGTCTGTTTTGGTTCTCTGTTTCTTGTAATAGGTGTAAATTGCCACTACTATGGAATTTCCTGCAAGTCCAATGATGAAAGCTATCGTGAGGAAGGCAGGCAGGAAAATGCTTGCAAATTTTCTGACTTCTTCTTTTATACAGATCACTTCGTACTGACTGTAGTCGTGAGTGCCATTCGTGTCATTTTCCTCATAGTAGTAATCTACTGACTGGTTCTGTTCCAAAGCCATGGCTGCAGTCTAGATGGCAAAAAGAGTACAGGATTCTCGCTTTAATATTGCTTAAAAGGAAATAGTTTTATCCAGCACATGTTTTATTCTTTCCCCAGATAACAGGTCTTTGCTGTAACATATCTGAGACTGAATCTGGCACTCTGAAATGCTTTAATGGGAGCCACATTGGAGCATTAGTTATTCATTCTCTGTTTTTAAAACACTGTGTGTAGGAGCTGGGATTTACACAGGGATGATAAACATAAAATCCTGGGGAATTTTTTAAATAATTAAATCCTATGTAAAAAGTTTTTAAAATATGAAAGTTTAGTCAGAGTTCAAGTAAAAATAAAAAGTTTATAATCTTTACATACATAACTTTGTGAGTCTTATGGAGTATATCTACCATAAATTAAATTAAAAATTTAAATAAATTATTTTATTTAAAATTTATTTTATTTTTAATTTTTATGATACTTATTTACAAATTTAATTTAAATAAGCTAAATAAATTTTCTCACCATTTGTACTGAATTTCACTAGTTGGTTTCCATAAAACAAGGTCTCCTTTAGTCAACTTCCCTCCAAAACCTATTACTAGTTGCTTATTGTAAACTATCTTTTGGTAGCACCACCATCCTCCTCGTTATCCAAGTTGTGATCTGCACCATCCTTGACTTCTCTCTTACCTTCACCCCTGATTTCTAATCAGTCCCTACATTCTGACTTTACCTTCCAAATAGATCTGGAATCTGTCTCCTCCTTTTAATCTGCACTCTTTGGCACATGTGCACAATTTGACCATTGTGCTTCTCACCTGGCCTACTGAAATATCTTTCTGTTATCCTGCGGTTGTGATTTCTCCTTACCACCTCCTTGTCAAAAACATTTTTCTTACTGCCACCCAACTGTTCCTATCTCTAAAGTGCCAATTTGTCACTCCCCTACTGAGCTCCTCACCTGGAAGACACATCACTTCACCTGAAAGACATAATCCAAGCTCCTTAGCATGATGTCCAAGGCTCTCTCTGTAATGTGGTGCCACCCACCTCTCCGTACTCTGTGCCCCACATTGTAGACAATGCTAGTACTGATCTTCCAGCAGTTGGCTGGCACACACCACGCAGCAGCACGTGTCTGCATCAGTGCTCATTCTATTCTTTTATCTGACATACTGTTTCCTGCCCTTCCCTTGAAGGGCCAATTCCTACTCAGTTAACTTGGATGTCACCTCCCCAGAAGAATCAAGTATCAGTCTCTACATACCTCTCAAAGAACTGACCACATCTAATGGAAAAGATTTGTTTCCCAGACTACCTTGTCTCTCTGTGCTCTAAGTTCCCCAAAGCGTGATCTGTTGGATTTGTGTTTGTATTTAAAACCTTATTACCATGCCTGGCACACCCTAGCTTCTCAGTAAATATTTGTCAAATTAAAGTTTTTCCAGCAGGTATAAAGCTGTTACTCTGGGATGGATAGATGATATGCCAGGAATCTCCTGTCTCAACAAACTGTACTATCTTGGCTATTAGCACCCCATAGTATTAAGATAAGCTTACATAGAATTCACAAGTTTTAAAATACACATAGTAATGACTTCAATGTTTTTATTATAGTACTGAGTTTTGGTTTGCTTTTTTCTTTTTTTAGCCTTTCTATCTTCCTTTTGATATTTTTATCCTTTGAAGAATTGTAAATAATCTTATGGAATCAGT